GTTTGCTTTCGTGTTACGGGGTTGAATGTCAAAGGAAGCTCACTGCTGTAGCAAATGGAGGTGAAGGGGACTGGTGGTATTCCAGATGAAACTGAATGAGCTGCAAAGCTTTCTGATTAAGAGTATCTGTTCCATTTCTGCTGTCACAAAACACTAACTTTCAGCAGGAGTAGGAAAATACTTGAAATGGTTACCTAGGGATTCAAAGGGAAATGCTGCTTTAGGCATGGATATTGCAAAGTGACAGCAGATGTTTGGCAACTTAGGTTTCTAGAGATCTCTCAAACTGAAATCCTCCTATTTGCTATGGATTCTCCTGAATTTAGATCCAAGGTGGTCTCTGCTGTAAGTGAACTTGCAGTGTGAAATGCTCTGTCATTCTGTAAGGAATCCCCTTGTTCTTCTCCATGAAAAGTAACAAGAGCTGTGAGTTGCTTCATTGTGTTGTCAGACATGGCATTAAATGAGCTGCCCTGTTTCTGTAGAGTCTTCCAAGGAATGTGTATCTTGTCTTTTAATTTTATTTTTTTTTTTTAACAATCTGAGCTGTAGCCTGTAATCTAGACTGGGAAGAGGGTGCTCCTTTAATTTAGAAAGCTCTGCCTCTGTTCTAGAATACACTGGAATCTGTTTAGACGTGAGAGGAGATGGGGAGAACATCACCAGAGTTCCTAGATGGAAGCAAAGTGCAAAAGATGGGAGGAGCAGATGTTTTTTGTTTCATTTGGTGTGCTGGGGAAGCCCCTTTCTTCCTCACAGGGCATCTGGCAAGGAGTTAGGTTTTGCATGCTCACTTCCATGCCCCAGCATTTCATTTGCTCAAGTTCATCTCCCTGCAATTCCATTCCTACCCACCTTGGGGGAGGGCAGAGATGAAGATCTGGAGTGAAGCAGCCCACGTCCCCTGAGCACTTCCCTAATTCCCTGTGGAACTGAGATGTGATGGATGGTCGGAAGTGCATCTACTGAAGAGGAGCCAGGGCCTGCTTGTGCTACTTACTGCTGTCATTTTAGGGGGTAGGCATAC